TGCAAAAGTTTTAGCTGAAATGGCTCGAGTGCATTCCGTTGGTGATTGTATCGCAGTTACGGCTAAAACGAAATTGAGAATATTCACGTTTGAAATTAATAATTCAGTGTTGAATTTGAAACTTGTGAAATTGGTCGATGTCGACGTATCATTTGAACAATTATCTAAATCATCAACTAAAGATGATAAATTGCCAACTGATAACGGCAGTGATAAGGGTGATAGTAACAATCAGACCGGATGTGACACTGTATCATCGTCGTCGAATCGAACTGCCGATATCACTGCAAATAAAACCAACAAAAATCCGCACCGTGAAATTGACAAACAGGTTTGCAATAAATTTTTCCATGTGAAAAACAAATCCATCAGTTGATTTTTGCGGTAAATATTTCTGGTTGTTTTAAAGCCGCGATAACAGCAAAACAGAATCGAACTTTCCAATTTTAGCATGGAGAATTTGAAAAGATGGATTGGAGTATTTTTGCGAACTGAATTGTTTTCATTTCTTCCGTATTAATTTTTTTATTGTGATACTTACGTTTTGCAATTTTATTGTACAGTCTAATAAAATCGAAATGAAATTTTCGTATGCCATTTACAACTTTCAAATCCTCTCATTTAAAATGATTCATTCATCGGAAAAGATTTGTGGAATTTTGAGTGAAGTTCAAAAAAATTATTTAATAGTGAATGTTAAATTCAGATATTATCAAGTTCGTTCTCAGATGATGGCCGTTTGATTGCATTAGTGACGTCGATGAAAACATGTCTTGTTTATGAACGGCAAACCGATTGGAGCAAATCGCAGTGTATTGCTGCGTATCATCTACCGAAGGCACCGTCCGCGGTTATATTCGATGCCAAGCGAGAATATGTGATCGTTTCGGATCGTGCCGGTTATGTGTGCAGATATAAACTAGACTCTAGCGGTGATATGCACTCTGCTTCCACGAACACTAATGCTGCTGACCCTTCAAATGGTTTCTTTCTTCGATCACTTTAATTCCTTTCTTTTTCAGCAGTATCTGGAAATCGACATTCAATAGGATGTCCTAAATGAATGTAGAAACATTAGGTACCACTCTGTTGAGTTCATTGACTTTCATGAAGGAAGTATGTGTAGCAGAACAAGATAATTGTGATCATTCGACCATTTTGGCAGTCTCTTGGTTATCACTGTTCGGTGGATGTTAAGTCAGTTCAAAATTGGATAAATCTATAAATAATTTTTTATTGCTTTTCGATAGACTACGTGATATTTTAGTGTTATTTTCTTTTGTAGTGCTCACAGTTTGAGCTTTGTAATGATTCATTTTTATTGTGAAAGGAAATTGTTAAATGAATTATCAATTAATTGCTGAAAAAAAATTTGAGATGAAGAGAATGAATGCAAAGGTGAAATGTTACTCGGNTGATATGTGAAAGCGTTCCTTTCACTGTTACATTTTTACGTGGTTCCGATCTGATCTTATCAACTGAAACTGCTCTCAATTTTTTGTTGTGAAAACTGAAAACAATTACCACATATCAGTGTTTAGTTTTTCATTTAATCGTATTTGTAATTTATGTGGTTTATAGCGTTATCAAGATTGTTTTAGTTAATTATTTTTCAGCATTGTCTTTAGCATCATTGAGATGTTTCGTTGAAATTTGTTTTTGTTTTGTTTTGTTTATCGAAAAGGCATTCCGCAGCCTGGCTCAAGCTCATTGCCGTTGATGAGTTTGACATTGGATTGGTATCTGCTGAATTTGTTCAAATTAATTTTATTCGAATTTATTTTATGTGGTGATGGTACAGTTCGAGTGTGGAATATTGAAACTGGTGAAACGGAAGCAGTCTATGATGAATTCGATAAAAAACCCATCAGCTTGATGCGGAAATGTGATCCAGGATCCGAGCACCCAACGGTTTGTTTATTCAAGTTTCATTTGTGAAAGCAGCAAAACCGATTCTTTAGCATTTTATGTGTGAACGTACATGTTATCATCAAATATCACTTCCGCTGTTCTCTTGCATTATTTAGTCAGCCGATCCAAACAAATCCTAAAAGTCTGGATTCTCTTTTTTTTGTGAATGCAATTGATGTACTCAAGATGTTTGAAAGGAAATGATGTAAAATAGCTCTAAGTATTGCATACATACGCTGCACTGCGATTATAATACGTTTTGAGTTCAGATTTGCCTTAAAATCTTGCGTTCTCATTGAGAAATTTATTGTTGTTTCATGTCGAAGAATTCAATATTTGAAAGGTTTCGTAATTCAGGATGAGATCACTTTGGCAGTTGTGCTCAAAGAAAGTGCGATCGTAAATGTTTTGGCATTCAATGTCGAGAAATTATCGTTTCGTAAATTATGTGAACTGAACGCAGCATCGAATATTGTCGATGTAGCTTTTTGTAAAGAAAATTGTATTGTTGCCTTAAGCAAGTAAGTTTCGTTCGTCTGAAATCTTTTGATGTTTCATAATTTAGGATGAGATCATTCAAGAAAGTAACAGTGCTTTTTGTCACTAAATATCAATAAATGTAAAGATCTATTTTGATTTGTATTCAACTTTAAGATGATCTTTTGAGCATGAATTTTTTGATAATTTCAAGTAAATTCGTTTCGTAGAGGCAGAAATGTTTCTAGTATCCACATCGGAACACAAACTTTCAAGTTTCAGTCTCAATGTAATTCATTTTGATGTTTCAGTGATTCGGTTCTGTTTGGAGAAATTCGATCGGGAGGAGGAAGATTAGAAGTGGTGCAAGGAACTGATGAATATCTAGTGAACGATCTGAAAGAAGCTCGAGATGGTTTACCGTGTTTGGAAAAGAAAATCGGATTCGATAATATGAGTGAATATCGACAGAGAAAACTTGAAAGAATTCAGAACAGGAAGCGAAAAGCTGAAAAAGTCGAGTAGAATTTGTCTGAATTTCAGGGAAAATAGCTGGAAAATAGATTGTTTTTAATAAGTGGTTATGATATATACTCAATCTTCCATGGCGGTGTTGCACTTTAAATTGTTTCGTTTAAATTTTGTTGTATTCAAACCTCGTAACGTCCAGTTTTCATATATTATAATTACGATTATATCATTCTATGAATACTGTTGTTGTTATGGTGTTTGCTGACACGCTTATGTGATATATTTGTTGTTATTAGTGTTGTTAATATTGCTGTTGTT